CCCCGGCGCCTGGCCCAAAAGAACTTTATTTCACAGCTTTCACTAATATTAAGGCTTAGAAGGTATTTAGCTTCATTAGGTCTCTAATTTGCAAATTTAAACCAATAATAAAGCATAATATCTTATGCAGGAGCAGAGATATGTCTAAGGTCTGAAATACAAATAGCAATGCATATCAGTAATAGCTAGTTACTATAGTGAAACAGGTCCATGTTTGTACCATTTCATGTAATTACTCTTATAATTTTCTTTTGTGCAAAGGGCACATACAATCTACTTATTTGGAAGGAGCCTCACCTTCAGTACACTTCGTTTTATCAATAAGCTTTATGTTGTTCCTTACATCTCTAGTTGGTCTTCCTATATATTTGGTGCTTTGTTCTTTAAGTTCTCAGCCCACTGTCCCACTACTTACTATCTATCTATCTATCTATCTATCTATCTATCTATCTATCTATCTATCTATCTATCTATCTATCTATCTATCTATCTATCTGTCTATCTGTCTGTCTGTCTGTCTGTCTGTCTGTCTGTCTGTCTGTCTCTATCTATCTATATCTGTAATCTATTTTTTCTTTTAGATTCCATATTATAAGAGGAAATTATTTGATATTTTATTTTCTGTCTGGTTTATTTTACTTTTTGCTTAGAATGATCTTTCTCAACTGTATCCATATTTTTGTGAACATCAGAACATCAGAATCTCTTTTCTTCTTAAGGATAAACAGTATTTCATTGCCACTGTAAACAATAGATTTTTTTACATAGTTATTTCATTGTATGGTTTATCTGTCTTTAATTTGTATGGTTACCTTCATATTCTTCCCTTAATTGCTGTACGAATATACATTTCCACCCAAACATACAAGGGCTTTTTTGGGGGGTCAATAATATGGCTAAGATTGTCTCTTTTAGTAACTTTCCTAACAGACATTTTGGAGCAATTTATAGTAAATTTTATTTTCATCTTCTTAACCATAAATGACATCAAAAATATTTATGTCATTGCATCTTAGGCCCAATTTCTTTCTTTTTCTCTCTCTCTTTCTCTCTCTCTTTCTCCTTCCTTCCTTCCTTCCTTCCTTCCTTCCTTCCTTCCTTCCTTCCTTCCTTTTCTTGTTCTTTTTTTTCTTTCTCAAAGCTTGCCCTCTGCTACATAATCCACAGCTTCACATAGAGCTTTTTGGTTGTTAATTGGAGATAAGAGTTTCATGGATTTTCCTGTGCAGGCTGCCTTCCAGCCATGATCCTTACATTTCAGATTCCTGAGTAGCTAGGATTACAAGTGTGAGTTACCAGTGGCTGGTTTGCCCCCACCCCTTTTTGTCACTTGTGGTGCTTGATCTCTGGGACTAGGCACTGTCCCTGAGCGCTTCAGCTCAAGGAGACCCATCTACACTTGAGCCAAAATAGCTTCTGGTTGTCTGGTGGTTAATTGAAGATAAGAGTCTTATGGACTTTCCTGCTTGAACTGGCTTTGAACTGTGATCCTCAGGTCTCACCCGTAAGCCAGGGGCACCTGGCTGACATCTTTTTAAATTCAATTATATAGTTATTTTGTAATTGAGTTTTATCATTTTTTCCTACAAAATTTGAATATTAACCACTTACCAGATACAGATTTTGCAGTAATTTTCCTAATCCATTCACTAGTGTTTCACTTACTGATTGTTCTATCTTGCTGTGGAAAGAAGCTTTATACAGTAGTGTGATGGATCGATCCATTTTGGCCCTTGTAGTCAGCCTTTTCAGATGATATGTAGGAGTCCATTGCCAAGATCAGTGTCCAAAATAATTCCCCTGTGTTTTCTTGCAGGTATCTTATAGTTCCAGGTCTGCCATATAGGTTTGTAGTCCTTTGGGGGCCATTTACATGTGTTGATAAGGTCTAATTTCATTGTTCTATAAATGGTATTCTGTGTATGGAAATATAGGTTCACTGGCACTAGTTAGGAAAACTTTCCCCTTGTGTCATTTTGGTGCTCTTGTTGAAAATGCGTTGACTGCATATGTGTGGATTTATTTCTGAGCTCTCTTTTCTGTTCCACTGATAAATATATCTGCTTTTATTCAGGTGACTGAATGTTTCCATTTAGAAGCATTGTTGTAGTATCTACCCCTCTTTTGCAAGGCACATTGTTTGTTCTTGTAGATAATAAGGTTATGGAAAACTTGAAACTGAGGTCAAATGCCAATTTAGATTAGATTAGAATATTCAAATATGATATACCCTCCAATGGACTGAAGGTGTCATCAGCAAATTTTGTTTTCTTGATTGTCTAGCTGTTCACTCAAGCCATTCAGGTTATACAAGTAAGCAGTTTTAGGACCACACATCATGACATGAGGATCATCAAAGTTACATGCATTTGTGAAGCTATGTGATGTATTCCTCACTGTGAGAAAAGGTCTTGCTTATGGGAAGCATTAGTAACTTTCTGCCTCTACATCCTGTGAGGGCTTTCTTCATTTTTGTCTTAAAGGCTATTTTGCATTTTTTTTGGTTTTTATGACTCAGCTTATCCTTTATACTTTCCTTAGATATTGGGATGCATTTATGGCGACTATTTTCAAATTGTTCTTGTCTGAGACTTTTTTTGTCTTTTTCAGTGAGATTGAGCAAACGTATCTGTGATAGTTTAAAACTATAAGCAATAGGTTTCTGCATTCCTGATTATTGAAGAAGCTTCCCTCAATCCTCTGAGCACTGGCTAAGTATACTGATGCCAGCATGATATACTTATCTTGTCATTTCAGTAACGTGGGACTGATTTAATGACTTTCATGTACTAATTTTTAAAAGATGCTGCAAATATAAATAATGAAGTCATTTTACTACATGTTTCAAAAGTTAAGTGACAGCTGGGCACCAGTGGTTCATGTTTGTAATCCGAGCCATCCAGGTGCCTGACATCTGAGTTTAGCGGTAGAAATACAGCCAAGGCAGGGAGATCTGTGATATTCTTGTCTCTAATTAATCACCAAAAAGCTGAAAGTGGAGCTGTGATTCAAGTGGTAGAGCCCTAGCCTTAAGTTAAAAAAAATAAAAAGTGAACAACAAAAACAACAGTTAAGTGACAGTGACAAAGCACTATGAAATGATGTTATATTTGAATCATTTGAAAATCTTTTTTTTTTTTTTTGTCAGTCATGGGGCTTGAACTCTGGGTCTGAGCACTGTCCCTCAGCTCTACCACTTGAGCTACAGCACCACTTCCAGTTTTTCTGATGGTTTATTGGAGTATCACGGACTTTCCTGCCTGGGCTGGCTTTGAACTGTGATCCTCAGATCCTCCTGAGTAGCTAGGATTATAGGCGTGAGCCACCGGCGCCTGGCCTGAAAATCTTTTAGAAGTAGACCTTGTCATGAACCAATTGCATCAGAATTTTGAAGTTCTGAATGTAACTGTTTTTCAATACTCTCAAACTGTTGGTGCCCAACAACATAAAACAAAATAAGCAGAACCCACTAAAACTTAATTTCTAAAATATATAACTTAGTAATTAGTCCCTTATTCAAACATTAGGTAAACAATTTAAAAATTCTTCCAGAATTTTTGGATTGCAAACAAATCTCGACAACTTGACTTTGGTTTTTAATAATTCATGATTTTCTTAGTTCAAAAATATACCAAGATGGTGTTTAAAAAGTAAATTTGAATAATAACTCATATAGCCAGTGTTAGTTTTCATTATATCTCATGTCTTTTAATGTTTGTGTGAACACAAGAAATAGAAAATATTTTTCCTCTATTATTTATGTATTTTTATATAGGACTTCTTGAAGGAAAAAATCACATTAATAAGAAAGAGAAAAAAACCTGAGTAATTTAGTAACATGTATTATCTCCCTTAAAATGAAAGTTAATATGGAAAAATGACAGATCTTCTAAATAGATCTGAGCTGTCTTACACTTCAGGGTTAAAATCATCTTCTCTAAATCAAAGGAATAATAGGATGGAAAAAGCCCCAAGTAGGATAACTATCAGTAAATTCACTATAAAATAGAGGTGAAGTTTATTATGCAGACTTAAGTCAATGCCCTCTCACTGATGAGTCTCTAGTGATCTAATCAACCTCTTTACAAACTGAGATTTCCTTTATAATATCTCTTAAAAGTGAGCCCTAGATATCTCAAATTATTTCAAGAACAGCTTCTTTATCTGGAGTTCTCAAAACAATAAGGTCCAAAACAATTCTTATGTGATAGAAATATATTTGGGGTCATAGATTCTCATCTCCTACAGTCATGTTTTGGGGTGAGATATCTTTATCCTTATGTTTATCAAAAACTCAAAGCAGCTGGGTGCCAGTAGCCCACACATGTAATCCTAGCTAGTCAAGAGATCTCAGGATAGTAGTTCAAAGCCAGCCAGGGCAGGAAAGTCTGTGTGACTCTTATCTCAAGTTAACCACCAGAAAACTGGAAGTGGTGCTGTGGTTCAAGTGGTAGAGTACTCTCCTTGAGCTGAAGAGTTCAGCACCCAGACTCAAAGTTCAAGCACTATGACTGACAAAAAACAAAAACAAACAAAAACCCTGAAAGTAGATTTTGCATTTGTGATCATATTTTTAAACTGGTTTTCTTTCTTAACCCGGTTTTATGCAACTATCAGTACTATTTCAATTATATATATGTATATATATACATGTATATATATTATATTTACATTGAATTTTCTTAAAATGATACAATCATTTAATGAAAGCTTTATTTCCCTAGCTTCAGATTATTTTGAACAGTTCTCTGATAAATAGTATGAAGTCATGGAGCAAATATTTGTTATTTGTTTTTATGTAATTAAGTTTATGTTTTTCCTGAGGTTTTTCAGAGAACCTATAAGTTAAATTTGTAACTTGAATAACTGTTCCTATCTACACAAATTTTGGTGTATACACTTTCAATCAGTGATGAGAAATCAAAACTATTTCCAAGAATAATGGAGATAGTGGTATTTCTGTGTTATTTATTTATTCACTTATTCTTTGATCTGGCCAGGGTTATGGTGGCTATATTGCATCAATGATCTTAAAATCAGATGAAAAGCTTTTTAAATGTGGATCCGTGGTAGCACCCATCACAGACATGAAGTTGTATGGTGAGTATATCTTGCCGACTGATCTAATCACATATATTGATTTGTAGAAAAGAATATCCCAAACCAGAAAAGCTCAATTTAGTTCATTCATCATGTCTTATTAAAGTCTGTTTGAGTTGTTTATCACATCTGTGATTCAATTGATTTAATTGCAGCATGACAATTAAGTTTGAAATATTGAAAGAAATAATGGATTTGGCTATATCTTTTGGTTTATTCTTAACTTTCTGTTTTTTTGGGTCACAGCCTCTGCTTTCTCTGAAAGATATCTTGGCATGCCATCTAAGGAAGAAAGCACTTACCAGGTAACTAACTTACAAGTAGCAAAAAGCATTGTTTTGTCTAAAAATAAGCTCAAATTGTTTTTATGTAAATATTTTAAATATAGATATCTATGCTTTCTTGTGTAGGCATCCAGTGTGCTTCATAATATTCATGGTTTAAAAGAAGAGAATATATTAATAATTCATGGGACTGCTGACAGTGAGTATTATCTTTGCTGCTACTGCTGATTGAGACCTGACCATTTAGGATGGTATACATCTTGGAACTTCTTTCCAGGAACCTTCTAAATAAATCTGCAGAAGAAGAGAGCAGGAAGTAGCTCAGCCACATGACAAGAAGTAGAAAGAAGAAAATCAAGGCTAAGAGACAAAGAGACCACAGCCTCACATGGCACAAATGCAGAAATTTTCTATGATGAGAGGAATGGCCTGTCTGTGCTGGGGAACATAGTAGCCACTGGCTACTTACAACCATTTTGTAATTTGTGTTTAACAAGACCAAAGCATACATTATTTACTTAAAAAAAACACAACATAATTCTAAGCCAGGCACCGATTGCTCATGCCTGTAATCCTAGCTACTCAGGAGGCTGAGATCTGAGGATCTCAGTTCAAAATCAGCCCAGGTAGGAAAGTCTGAGCGGCTCTTATCTCCAATAAACCACTAGAAAACAGGAAATGGCGCTGTGGCTCAAGCAGTAGAGTGCTCGCCTTAAGCTGAAGAGCGCCTGAACAGCGCCCTAGCTCAGAGTTCAAGCACCATGACTGACCAAATAATAATAATAATAATAAAATAGCCAAATGTGTGTAATGACCATGTCTACAGTATTATTCAGCACACCTCAAAAGGTGAAAGATGAAAGATGTAGAGATTCCTCACTTCAATGAGGTCATTCACTTCAATGAACAACAAAGATGCTCCTAAAAGGAATCTGTAATGCCTCTCATTCTTTTCATCCCCTTAAACATGGAGAACGGGGCCAAGTGATATATCTAGTTACGTGGAGTTGTTTTTTTTTTTTTTTTGCCGGTCATGGGGCCTGAACTCTGGACCTGGGTGCTGTCCCTCAGCTCTTCAGCTCAAGGCTAGTGCTCTACCACTTAAGCCACAATGCCACTTCCGGCTTTTTCTGTTTACATGGTGCTGGGGTATCGAAACCAGGGCCTCATGCATGCAAGGCAAGCGTTCTACCACTGAGCCACCTTCCCAGCCCCATGGAGTTGTTTATAGTCACATGAAGCATTCAAGGCTCAAAGAATGTATATCTTTATCATCTTTTGTGATACTTTAAACAGAAGGCTGAGTAGCTTTAGCTCAATTCACTGTTGACAAAAATCCATTTTAAAGAAAGAAACATCCATCTGAGGATTCCTAGAAACTGAATGTAAAGAGTCCAAAGCCTTAAATTAGTCTCCTAAATCTTGAACTATTTTGTTGTTCCAGCCTGCTCTGCTTCTGTATTTTTAGTCAACAGAGAAAAATCACTGAAGAGTGCTTTATAAAAGCAGAAACTTTTCAAACATGTCAAGCTATGATTAAAACAAAGTGTAGGTCAATGTGTGTGTGTGTGTGTGTGTGTGTGTGAGTATGTGTGTGTGAGTGTGTACAGGTATTTGCAATAAAATGCCAAGGGACAGATATCTCATTGAATTCCCTATCATTTATATATCTAATATATACCTCTCTCAAAGAGGTATTCTCATACAATTCTTCTGCCAAGTGAAAAAGGCTTACATTAATAAAAATATATTATATTTAATAAGTGTGATAGATATGTTATAATGCAAATGAGACTTTATCAATATGGCTTATCAACCAAAATCCATAACCACCCTCACCATCAATGAAATATTAGATAACCCAAAAGAGGAAGACTGTAGGAGGTATTTGAATAATACTCCACAGAACTTATGAAGGTCAAAAAAATCAAACTCACATAGATCAGAGGAGATTCAGAAACACAATCCATATATGTTAGTTGCTATTCTGGATGGGACCCTGCCAAAAAATGAAAACAAAAACAAGGAAAAGACCGTACACTGGTGGCTCATACCTGTAATTCTAGCTACTCAGGAGGCTGAGATCTGAGTATTAGGGTTCTTCAAAGCCAGCCTAGGCAGAAAAGTCCATGAGACTCTTATCTCCCATAAACCACCAGAAAACTGGAAGTGGCGCTATGGCTCAAGTGGTAGAGCACTAGCCTTTAGCTGTAGAGCAAGGGACCGCGCCCAGGCACAGAGTTCAAGCCCCATGACTGACAAAACAACAACAGCAACAACAACAAAAACACAAGGAAAATAATAATGGACATTTAGTTAATAGTAGAGATTGATATTGGCTTCTTTATGTGACAGATGATATCCCCAAATAATGTAAGACCTACAAGTAACTGGGACCTACAGGTACTGTTTGTATTCTCTTGGAATCTGAAACTGTTACAAAATTAAAGTCTATCCATAAAAAGAAAGGTGTGATACAATGCTTAGATTTCATGAATGCAAGAGAATATGAGACTTTTGAAGGAAAACTGAATTTTGCTTTAGGGTATTAAGACATTACATATAGGTCAATACACTCATGATGTTTTATATTGATTCATTTATTTCAGCAAAAGCATAGTATGCTAGGTGTTACTTTCATATTTTATTGATTGGAAAAATAAATACTAAAAGAAGCATACTACTGTTAGTAGAAGGAGGTTTCAGTTAATTGACGTTCTTATTCACCAAATACTGAAGTGTTAGTCATGTGATTACATTGTGTTCTAATTTTTTTGTCTCTTGCTAGCATGTTTCAGTACTGTTTTAAATTCCTTTATTCACACATGCTTGCATTATGGTAATTCATGTTGCTCCTATAAGAGTTCAGACTCATTCAGTTACAGTCTTGCTACTCACCTATCTCAGAAAATACAGAGATTCAGCACTGATTACCTGGGAAGAATCATACCTGAATGAGCACACACATACAACACTTAGGGCCTGGTAGTCTACAGGTGCTGAACCAAGGACATTAAAATACTACAATAATATTACCTAGAAAAATTACAATCAGTTTACTCAGAGAGTTAGGCTTTAACATTCCTACTAAATCTCAAGGATTTAGTAGACTTCAATAGAACATTAGCAGAAAACATAATCCAATTGAGAAATTCACCTATACAATTGTCTTTGAGGTGTGTTCATACAGAAGTATTAATGGAGTTCTTTTTCTATATCTTTTCTTATGAAAACAATAGGTGAGTTACCTAAGGAGTTAATTTACCTGAGTAGTCTCTCATATCAATTCACATTCATGGAAGCTTATATCAACTAAGCAGTTTATATTTATTTAAGTTTTCATAGTGATTTTTCTCATTAGGTTTATTAGGAGACTCTTGAAAAAACCTTGGGCTTATTTAAAATAAGGTTAAATACTTATTTGGAATTGTTATGGTCTGCTATGTAGTATGATGTTTTGACAACATAGAACTTGAACATTGAAGAGTTTTAAACTTTTTATAAATTTTCCATAGTTATATAAAACAAATACAAATTGTTACTTTGGAAGCTACTTGAAGATGGACATAGCACCAAGAGGAATAGCCAATCCTCATACCAAACAATAGCACAGATATATCACTGGCTGGCCAAAAATTTCATAATTACTTCAGTCAACACCATTCTTTGTATTTGCATGTGTTCATGCAGAAGGAAGGTAGAAGCAAAAGGGAGTAACCAGTATACTCTACACTCAATACGTAGCCCTCAACTGATGGAGAAATTCTGTTCTAAAATAAAATTGTAAAGCAAATTGTATCTGAGAGTAAATCCTAGTAATCTTCAAAAAAGATTAGAAGGCTGTTTTGATGTATTAATACTAAATATATATGTACTATATTGAAATATCTATAAGGTATGAAATGTGTGAATAATTTGAAAGAAGAATAAAAATATATCTAAGTAGCATCCCTCTACAGTAAGTAAACCTTAGTCACAGTGGTTTAACTTATATAATGTGATGTGAAAGTAATATCATGTCTAATAGATTTTTTTGTTAAAATCAAGTATTAGTCTTAGAAGTATAGCATACAGGTAACATACTCATTATCCTTGAAAAAATAACTAAATAAAACTGATTATAATAAAATTATTTCAAATATCATAATTTAATTTCTTACAGCAAAAGTTCATTTTCAGCACTCAGCAGAATTAATCAAGCATCTAATAAAAGCTGGGGTGAATTATACTATGCAGGTGAGTCACGTTTTCAGATGAATGTTGTATTAGCTCTCACACAAACACCTGAGATAATCGACTAATAAAAGGAAAGAGTTGAACTTGGCTCACAGTTATGGAGGTTCTATCCCATGTGATCTTAGACTTGAAGCAAGGCAATACATTATGATGGGAAAATGGGGGATAATACAATAGCCCCATCACAAACCAGGGAGCCCCCAAAGGGAAGAAGTTGCTGGAAATACCATTGATGACCTAAAAAACTCCTACTAGGTCCCACTCTTGGAAGTTCCCCTGACTCCCAAAAGAAAGAGAAACTTTGAGTACCAAGTCTTTTAATCAGAGGTTTAAACAAGAGATTCAAGGCCCAAACTATTCCAAAGTGAGTTTATTGTTTTTCTCTTTATTGCTGAATTATTCCTTCTTGCTTTTTCTTTTCTTTCCTACTAGTGCCACAAAAAAAACACAGCTTCTTTTATTATTCCAATTTCACTGTTGTTTTCTAATACGATTTTTAGGGAACAAAGATTGTATGTTTTGCCCTAATTGCACCAAGAATGTGTATCAGAACATGCTTTATCAGAACATGCTTTATAAGTGGATTTCATTAACCATTTAAAAAGGTCTCCTTTTTCTTTAGCTTTCTATTGTTACAATTATTGAGTTTTTCTAAAGTAATTTTCTGTTTCTTTTATGTCCCTTTTATCTTTTCTCTACTTTCCAACAGTCTTTCCATGAAAAATAGGAGGGAAACAAGTATCTGGAAGAACTATTACAAGAAAAAATGATAATATATCACACTACCATTTAAATTATGTCGTCATACATTTAACAAATATTCGTCAAAGACCTAGAGTATGGTATTGAATATGCTAGTTGTAAACAGGACCTTTTTAATGCTATCAGGAAACTTTCAGCTTGATGGGATCATAGAAAAATAATACTTTTAATTTCTCAACATTGAATGAATTCAGTCACTTTCTCATTACTGTGGCAAAATATCTGAGGCAGTCTATTGAACAATGGAATTATCTACTTTATTCTATGGGTTCAGAATTTCTAGTCCAGGGCAGTTTGGTCCCAATGCTTCAAGATTTTTGTGGCAAAGTGTATGGCCTTTTAATTTCATGCTGGCTTGGAAACAAAGGGAAGACAAAGCTAGAATGAAAATATTCTCTTAAACAGGCACGGCCTCATGATTTGGCTTACTTCCATTCGCCACATCTAAAGGTTCCTCCACTTCTCAATAGAGTCACAGGAAGAGGACCATGCCATTAACCCTGGGGCTTTGGGGAAAACATTTAAGGATCAAACTATAAGCCTATCAATTGAATAACTCACACCTGTAATCCTAGCTACTCAGGAGGTTGAAATCTCAAGATATCTGTTCAAGAATAGCTCAGGTGAAAAGTTCATTAGACTCCATCTCAAAAATAACAAACAAAAAGCAGGATTGGAAGTGTGGCTCAAGTGCCTTCTCAACTACTTGCCTAGCAAGCATGAGACCCTGGGTTCAAACTTAAGCACTGAATAAATAGATTGAAACCATAGCACTCTGCCCTGGCCTCCCATCATTTGATAATTCCAAAAATATTTAGTCCATCTCTAAGAATCCTCAAAGTCTTAACAGTTCCATCAGAGATGAAAAATCCATGTCTAAAATCTTCTCTGTGAATGGACACAGACTCAATTGTGAACTCCTGTAAAAGAAAAGAAGAAAATGACAATAGTAAGATACGATAGTGGGACCAAGTAAATGTTGGCATTACAGTGAACTAATAATGAATTGGATCAAAACAAGATGAAAACCCAACAGAATATATGTTAAATATTTCAACACCAAGCCCAGCATCTGAAATAGAGTACAAGGGTTTACTCAAGCTCCATCCTTAGGTCTTTTCTGATTACATACCTCATGGCCTATCTCTTTGTCTGGCCTATCACATTCTGCAACTTTCCTATTCAGGTATTACAAATTCCTGGCAACTCTGATTTATAGGGTCTTTATTGTAGCTCTGGCTTAATCTCACAGCTTCATGCATCACCTTCCCAGGTGTTGCTGGCAAGGATTGTGAACCTTCCACAAACAGACTGATCATTCAGGCCTTCATTTGAAATATGATGGATGCCTCCATGAGCTCATAACTCTTTTATTCTGGGAGCCAGCATCATGTAAATGACAACATTTTCTGCTGTTAGGGTTGTGGAAACCTATATAGCACTGGTTGGCTGAGGAACAAATCTCTATAAAACAAGTCCCAAGAAAGCCTTGTGTGAGCAAGGTGAAGAAGATTGTCAAACAAAACTCCTAGAAAGGAATTGATACCTTTTCACCTTTGCGCTTGCAGGGGAGGGGTTTTGCTGGTTCCTAAGATGTCTTCGAAGGAGAAGCAAGTGTGCTACACACCCACTGGGCTCAAGAGATATAAATGTTCTCTTCTTTGATGTGTTCATTCAATAGTTGATCTCCCTGTTCTTAAGAAAGATCTTCCCTGGATTGTAAAGCTGGCCATAGGATAAAATAAGATTTATAGCCCTGTCAAAATAGCAAAAGAAAATGTATAATTACAAGCTTTCTGAAGTAAGTTTTCTAAGAAAAGAGAGATAAAGAGCTATAGCCAGGAAACATCTGTCCAAAGTTCAGTCAAGCAGAGAGCACTATTCACACTAGCATAGTTGACAGACAAATGTATAGTTTTTAATATATTTTTTCTCTTTAATTATACTTTTTTGACTGTGAGTCAAAGCCAGGCATATGTATATATTAGGAGATCAATCTATAACTGAGCTGAAATCTAAGCCACTGATTAGCTATTTTTTTAATCCTTATGAAAGTGAAACTAAAACATGGAATGCTGATGGATGATGGCTGCTTTGATTTTTTAAGTCTACTTTCTCCTCCATATCTTAGGTCTACCCAGATGAAGGTTATAATGTGTCTGAAAAGAGCAAGTATCATCTCTACAGCACAATCCTTAGATTCTTCAGTGATTGCTTAAAGGAAGAATTATCTGTGCTACCACAGGAACCAGAAGAAGATGAATAATGGACCCTGTTTATACAGACTGTAGGGGACATTGTGGCTCAATGAAAACTAAAGAGACTGTCATATTGTAGATGCTCCAGAATTTCAAGGACAGCTTGAGGAGATGACACTGGAACAGCACACTCAGACAATGAACTAGAACTTGAAGACAGACATCCAAGTCTACTTGTTGCAAGGGTGCAGAATGTGTTTCTTTGTAAAAGGAAGGTCAAAGAGTTGGTTTCCTGGGAGAAATTAGTTTCACATTAAAGTAGGAATAGTGCATGTTTTCTTCTGTTATCCCCATTTGTTCTGGAACTAGTTGCTCTCATTTTGATTTCAGTAGCCACCATTATCTTTGCATATGATGCACAATTCATCATCAGTACTCCAGTCCTTGATCTTGATGGCTGAACTGCAACCTAACTCTTTACTGTAACTTTATAATAAGTGCAATTCTTCACTGTCTATTATTATGCTTAAGAAAATATTCAGTAAATAAAAGACAGAGTATTTTATGTAATTTCTGTTTATAAAAAGGACATTTTTAAATGAGTCAAAGGATCTATAGAAATTTGGATCTCAGTACCTTCCAACGTTCAGCCAGTTATCAGTAGACACAATATCTTTAAATCAACACATGAGTATATGTGTCACTATATTCATATATATATATATACACACACACATGTGCATATACAGTCAGTGAATCTATCCTTACATGTTATTCATACTACAAAGGGTAAACTCTTGATGAAGTAGAAAAGATGATCTTTCACAAGCTATAATGGATGCTTTGTTTAATGAGCCAAATATGATGAAGCATTTTTTCCAATTCCAATTGCTATTGCTTTCCTATAAATGCTTGGGTTGTGTTTGGTATTGTTTTTAGTGGTTAATAGTTTTCTAGTTGCAATTTAATTTTTTGAATATGATACCTTGTCACATGTAAATTAGATACTTAAATATTAAATTATAGTTTCTGATAAAGAAATTTTGTTAACAATGCAGTGCCACTGAGTGCTATTTTGCTGTTTCAGTGGAGAAGGCTTTTTTAAAACCACATGGTCCTTTTACTTCTGTCTCTCAGTGCAGTCAATTCTCATTTTCATTGTCAAAGCAAAGATCTGGGATTATGTCATCTTCCTGTTCTATTTAGTATTTCATGCCTGCCCAATTCATCTGTTGCTGTTTAATTTAAACCCTTCTGGTGAGAATTAAAAATGAAGTATTTTTTATTCACTGGCCCAAAAGTTCATAGACAGCAGTGTTTGCACGTTGAATGGAAGGCACACAGTGCATCAATTTCTGTGCTTTATTGGCTTAAAGTGGTAAATAACAAGAGTGAAAAATAAACTCTACTGTATGGAGTCATTTTAAATCATGAGATCATTAACTTTAGTGACTAAAAATAAAAGCATCTCCCCTTTTATGTGAGGGATTATCTGAAAGATAACTCTGTAGCCAAGTTTTGACATTCAGAAAAATCTATACAGTGTACTGCTCTCATGGTTGAAGACAAAAGTGTCTTGGGGAGACTGGTTTATCATGTCCTGAAAATGCCAGGAAAAGAATTTAAAAAATAGCAAGAAATCACTCTGTCACCATTTTGTTTTAAGTATCAGTAATTTGCCTGTTTATAAATATGGAAATATCTGACTGGGTCTTCCATTTTATTCTGGATGAGTTGGAATTGTGACTCACTGCTTCATTAGATTCAATTTAAAATGAAAAGAAAGGTCTGCAGAAAGACCCATTCCAGGTCTATTTCAAGAAAAGTAAACACGTTTTTAAACAAAATCAGTTGTAATGTTTAAAGGGAATTTTTTGCTTATTTTATATTAAGATGGAATTTTCTTTTTAGGCTGATTTGAAGTCCAATGGAAGCTTTTTAATCAATATTTTAGATTTCAACCACTAGAGTTTTTTATGATGCGAATAATTATGTTGTTTGAAAGATGTGGTTTTATTGAATGTTTACTTGAGTAACATTTAAAAAGTGTTTATCTTTTACTGTTCATCATTTCTCTTGCTTTATTATTATTATTATTATCAATGTTTATCTATTTTTCAATTAATTTAATACAGTTTGTAATGTGAAAGACATTTGTCTGGGACCCACTTTCACCTTGAGGGCTAAATGGATCCTAAATGAAGCATATTGCTTAGTACAAAGGTAGACATTTTTTCATTTATGTGATTCTTGAGTTTTAATAACTGGGTCATCTTAGACAAAGGAAATTCACAGCAAATCATAGTCTACTACTCACAAATGGAATCATTATAACTGTATTCCCCTTTATATTTTTGCATCAGTTTTAATCCCATGAATTCATGTATATGCATAGTAAGTATTTCTAAAGACTCTAATGACAAGTTTCCCAAGATAAACTAAACATTCTGTAACACTAGAGAGCAGTACTTACTAAGTCAGAGATGAACACATGATCTTTGAATCTATTTTGATAGAGAAAACTATTTTTCCTCTTAACTACCACTTAGACAGTGATCATCCTTGCACTTAAAAACAAAAGAGGTTTGCTGATCAGCTCTAGGGTCTCCTAGATGCCACAGGTAACTCTACTATAATAAAGTGATAGAAGAACTGCCCTTAGTGTATGGAGAATCTTTTCTACCATGACCTTCAGATGCTGCAGAATTGTCTGGGGATGAATTGCTCATAAGTCACTAGGGTCAACGAAGGCACATAGCCCATAAAAACAGTTCCATATGAAGTACCTATTGCCCTTCCTTTTATGTTCTGCTCACCTACCCCTCTGGCAGCACCTGCATTGTGTAAGGTGATCTGGGCTCTCATCTGTGCTCTCTGACTTTCACATTCTGTTCTGAGGTTTCATTGACACTAACATTGGTGACCTGCTAAAATAAACAGATGGATCACTTATGGACTACAAATCTACATGAGAATACTTATACAGAGCTGAAACCCAGTTAATGGAGGCCAGTAATAGGTGACTCTAATTTCTACTTTCAGAGGCAATATATGATTCTTAGAAGGCTCTGTGGGTCCCAGTATCGACAGTAACACACCCTTCTATTTTTTTCTTTTCCATTTTATTCTTCTCAGTCCCATCTCCTATTTCTTAAAATAGGAGAAACAAATTATATAGGCACCAAATGATGTAGGTCCTGCTTTATTTGAAAACTTTCTTTCTTTCTTTCTTTCTTTCTTCCTTCCTTCCTTTCTCTCTCTCTCTTCCTTCCTTCCTTCCTTCCTTTCTCTCTCTCTTTCTCTTTCTTTCTCTCTTTCTCTCTTTCTCTCTTTCTTTCTTTCTTTCTTTCTTTCTTTCTTTCTTTCTTTCTTTCTTTCTTTCTTTCTTTCTTTCTTTCTTTCCTTTTTTTGTCAGTCGTGGGGCCTGAACACTCTGGGCCTAGGTGCTGTTCCTCAGTTCTTCAGCTCAAGGGAAGCACTCTACCACTTGAGCCACAACACCACTTCCTGCTTTTTTTGCTTATGTGGTGCTGAAGAACTGCACCCAGGGCCTCATGCATGCAAGACAAACACTCTATGACTGAGCCACCTTCCCAGCCCCTGTTTCTTTTAGTTTTCTGTAAGAGCTTATTGTTTGTGAATACTATGGAAAATAGAAACAATACTATTTCTTTCAAAATGGGGATAAGCTCTTTCTACCTAAATATTTTTAAACTCATATTCTCTACCAAACTTATGCTAAATTCTCTAAATGTATTATCATTCATTCTTTTCAATATTCCCTGAAATGGTTACTAGTGTTCCAATTTAATACATAATATGCAAGTTGTCAAAATTTACATAAATTTGAGCATAAATAAATTATATCTTTAAATAGACTAAATTAGAGCTCCAGCCCACTTAAAATCCATATTTTCACCAGGCACCAGTGGCTCATATCTGTAATCCTCAGGAGGCCGGAGTTTAAGGATTGAGAATTGATGTCAATATGGGCAGAAATATCCAAGAGACTATATCTAATTAACAAGAAAAGGCCAGAAGTGGAGGTGTGGCTCAATTGGTAGAGGGCCAATAATGAACAAATAAGGTGAATGTGTGGCTCTCTGAGTTCAAGTACTGGCATTATACATACATACATACATAGAAAAATATATGTTCTTAGTCATTATGCTCTATGTTACCCCCTTCCTAATAAAACAAAAAGATTTAACTCACTCTCATTTCATTTGAAAAGGCATGCCATCCCGTATATTTTGGGGAATGCTTTGGAAGCAATGAGCAATGGTAGTTAAATATATTGCTGTAGCATACTGGAAGTTACATGAACAAGTTCCTTAATTTCAAGAGGACATATATCTACTTATAACATATTTTTTCTGTTAGAAATATGTAACAATTGTTCCTATCAAAGCTTTTGCTCTGATGACCATGACTACATACCTGGAGAGTGACTAGTAAATTCCTTTGTTCAATCATTATGCCTAGGACATTCCAAAGTCTTTCCAGGAGACACTCTATACAATAGAAACATTTTGTTGATCAATATGCTCAGGCTTGTAAACATGGCAATCTTATAAAGCATTTATATGCTATGCAATCTGAAAACATACGATAGTATATAGTCATAGCAGGTACTGACAACCCTATTCACAATCTGACTTTAAAAAATGTTACCTACCTCTTATCTGTAGGAAATAGCGTGGGTTTACCATTTATCAAATCTATTAACAACTATTTTATTTCATTTGCCAATATTCCAGCAGTTGTTGAGCTCCCCTATTTGAAAATAAAAAAACAAAATGAAACACTTTAACTCAAACGTAATGCAGAGAGACTTTAAAGTAAATAATTCGCACTAAAATACTCTTAATTTCCTTAAGCTTGGATTGTCTGATACAGCATCATAGATTTTTTAATTAAGCCATTTAGGTACTAGGGCAGTTGATTATCACATGCTGTCTATGTCTTTCACCTATCACTATTTTTTTCCTAGTCATATTTGACAGGAATTAAACTTAAGAACACAGAGTGCCCTCCTGAAACTTGTTCCCTACTCTGTCACATAATCCCAACTAATCATAAAACCAAACAAGAAAATAAATCAACATTCAGAGAGGTGGAATAACTTTCCACCATGACACACTGTGTGGAGTGAGAAGGTCATGACCGCTAAGTCCTCACCTGCAGATAGTCTCATGGATGTGTTTTCTAGCTGGTTAATTCCCTAACTTCATCACAATTGTAACCAGGTTGGAGCTGATGGATATGCTTGCTATCATGGCCTTATTAGACTAATCAGAGTGGTTCTCATTCTGTTCTGAACAGAAGTACAAGGTACATTTAAACAGAGAAATATAAACAATTGTAGGAGACATTACTTGCATTAGACAACCAGTGGTCAAGTCTTAGCTGTAAAAGACTTGGGAAGCCTCACGAATGTGTTGGTTTTAGAATGTGGTCTATGTCAATAGTCATATTGGAGCTCAAGACATGACAACTGAGACAGTTCACTCTCTCAGCTGCTGGATAGCCATCAGAATCTACTTTGAAGACACCCATAGTGCTGTCCTGTATAACTTCAATGCAAAAGACTGATCCATAATCACAGCAATCTTGAGAACTGATGATCATTGAAACTACTTGCTATTAAGCCTGTCTACTTTCATGATGCTTTTATGTGAGGAAATAAAAAAATATTTTAAATAAGGCATTACTCTTTGTGCAGAAGGAAAAGTTAGTATGAATTAAGAAAGAAACAAGTTTAAGGAGATTCTGTTGGATGCAATGACAGCTTAGACCTTCACAAACTCATCAATGTTGGGAATACTGTCTTCCTTGGTTAGTGACTAGAGCAGAGCACACAGCTTTATATGAAGATTATGGTATCTGTGGAAAGGTGAGTGTGGAATCCATGGAACAATTTTCTCCTCTCAGTTCTATCATGTCTATAAAAGCCTTCACTTCTATTAACTCCTTTGTGTGTGTGTGTGTGTGTATGTGTGTGTTTCCATATAAAGTAGATTTTCGCACCCCAAATTAGAATTACTGATGTTTCAGGTGCTGGTAATCAACCAAGATCTGAAAATATTAAATGGTAAATTCGCAATATAAACCAGTTATAAGTTTTATAAGCATTAAAAAAACATAGAAGCACTGGATGGCACAGAAGAACAGGTCTACAATCTAATTGTTAATATGTGCCTTTTGTTTAGAGGATGTCAAGTTTCCAAACAATAGGAACTTGGTCTTTTATGCAGACCTTTCTGAGAAGGTATCCCACTTTTCTCCCAGAGGACTCTTTACCTCTGTCCTACCCTCTGTTTTAAGAGTCAATACACTCTTCCTTAGTCTACATTTTCAATTTTCACCTCTGTTCTTCATCTTTGGCACATTTTCTCATGCTGGTGGATGGTTTTGAAATTTGATTGCCCTGCCAGAAGCCCCATTTTGCAGGCTTTATTTGCTCTAACAGGATTTATGAGACCATGATTATCTCCGTATGGCTTGAATTGCTAGGCACACCATTAATTCTGCTGATTGATGGGTTGTGGAAGCCTTATATGAATGGGAAAGAAAAACATCTGACAGGGAAACAGGTAACACAGCTTCTCTATTCATATGCTCTTTTAATGGATATAATCCTCATTACCTTCCAACATCTATCCTTGAGGATACCTTATGTGGCTTTTAATGACCTGTAAGTATAATTGGATTCTGAGCCCTTGAGAACAAATAATACATTTCTTTGCCAGGATTAATAGAAATTTTCAACTTCAAGGATGCATTCAAATCCTGAAATAATCAGATATTTTGTGCCTACTGTTTGCCAGAATATCATACTGTATGATACAACATTAAGAACATTTTTTAACCATGTAAACTAATTAACATATCTAACATGAACATTTCAGCCCTAATATTATAGCCAAATGAGTCATCACTAACTAAAATGGATCAGCATATTAATTATATTTTGGTTTCTATTGAGTCATTTTAATGCACATCTAACTGACTGTGTCATTAATCTGAGTCCCTCATCTGTTTGAATAAATATCTCATAATGA